GCATAAAGCATGCCGGTCACACAAGACATCACGATCTCACTACTCAGCTCGGTACATCTGCAGTGTACCCTTTTGTCGGTTGGCGCTTTTTGCGGCCACGGTAGAGCCCCAATGCCGTGCAAAGCGATCTCTTGGTGCCTCCCGGAGAGCTATCATTGTGGGACAGCCCAAAAGCAAAAAACGACGACGCCAACAGACCTGTTCGACATCTGCAAACAGTTATTCCAATCCCGTTCGACATCTACTAGCATGTGCCCCGATCTTTGTTGACGTGTACAACTCCCTACCTTCGACATCTAACCGTCTCCGCGATCCTATACAAGCATTCTCCACGGTTCTGTTCGGCATCTACTAGCATGTACCCCGATCTTGTTCGACATCTAATCGCAGTTGTCCCCATCCTGCTCGACATCTACAGGCATTTACTCCGATGCTGCATTTACCCGGGCCCTGTTCGACATCTGCAAACACTCTCCCCGACCCGTTTCGACATCTACATGCACTTACCCCGATCCTGTCCGACATCCACAATCATAAACTCGATCCTGTAAAATCTACAAGAATTTACTGCGATCCTGTCCGACATCTATAAACATTTACTCCTCTCCTGTGCGACATCTACAAGTAGCATTTACCCCGATCCAAACCTCACTAGTGCCCTGGCGCTCCTGCACACTTGTCAGCATCATTACACCCCATCTCGCGGCACTGACATCGCGCCTCACTGTGCCAGTAGCGGCCCCCGCTGCCCCAGCAGCCAAGGACCTCCAGTAGTCTTGCGAGATTGGCTCGAAAGTACGCGTCTGCTCACAATTCAAGAAAGAGTAGAGAGGGTGCTGATACTAAGACGTGGCCATGTAACACCTGCCCTGTCACCCTCTAAGGATGGAAGATGTCCGCACTTCGCGCTGCCATCTTCGCACATCCCAGCCGCACTCCCGCATTCACTGCCCCATCGCCCAAGAATCTACACTGCTGCATGGCGTTGCGCAGACATTCGGCCCAAATGTAAACCGATTCAAACTTCACAGACATGATTGGCTCAAGCAAAACCATATGCACACGTTTGACTCCATAGGCAAGTTGTAGTTACTTTAAACTCTGATTTCTGTCTAATGCACACGTTTAGACGTACGGCTTCTGATACCCCTGCCTCAGAACCTTCTCAACTAAAATGACCCTGACACCAGGCCTTCGTTTCAGCATCGGTGACGAGCCTCAGATGCTCGAAACCTATTTGCTTGAGTCAGGTTGGAGTGCCAAGGTTAAGACCGGCGTGAGCCCTCAAAGATCAAAGCTGCGTGACGGAACAAATGCATAACCAAGAATAAGCGTCCGATGCCCATCCATGCGTGTACTGACCTGTGGGAGATCTCACGGGAGCATGCTCCGAACCTCAAGTCTTATACACTTTATAACATACATGTTACATAGTAAATGGATAACTGTGCTCATTAAACAATTTGTATGAAGCTTCAAAACCCAGTCCAAGGCGCAGAGCCACGTCCGACGTCCCTGACACATCCCAGCTCGTGTGCTCTCGGTGGGCGTGAAGGCCGCCCGTCTGAGTTAGCTCCTTGGACACGTGTCTCGGTGATGACATCACGCAACGAAGCTCATGCTCTCGCTAGACAAGCAAGCATTGTGGTCATTGTCATCGCTGCCACCAAACACAATCATCGTCATCATCGCGTCATCGTGATCGTCATCGACATGACCATCAACCTCTTCACCACCATCATCATGGTCGTGGTTGCAAACTGAATACAACTGTGCTTCTCATCACCCATATCATCGTCATCTTCTCACAATCATCTGCAACAGTACACCCATGGTACAGACGTGGTGTCTTAGGCACAAACTGAGGAATCCATGCGATCAGCATGTAGAATAGAGCTGGCCACTTGCATGGCGTGAGATCTGCAAGTCCTACTTCCACATATGCTCGCCCGCCCCTCCATCTCATCTCACCGCTTCAACAACCCGCCACTGAAGTCATACTACACCAGTCTGAATCTGCTTGCCCCAACGATGTCTGAGGACTCATGCGAGGACTCGAGTGCATTGCGGATGACGATCAGGAGGATGGTGTGAGCAGAATGGGAACCATGAAGAAGAAGTAGATGATTCAAAAATTCGCTGATGATGACACTGTGATGGCTAACCGTCCACACCCCCGTGCACCTCTTCTCGCTGGGTGAAGCCCGCAAAGCTCTCTTCTTTCGACCTTGGAGGGTTGAGGTTTAGGGTTGGGCAACAGAGACAGACGTCATGACGGCTGGCAAGAACAAATTGATGAGACTTTTGAACCCCCACCATCCATACCAAACCCTACCTTTGGCCGCACCCTGAGTTCCTCCACCCTCTTGCAACACATCACGTCGAAGCTGCTGCTCCCCAACAGCTGTACGCAAACTTGCACCAGTGGCTGCTATACAGACAATCGCCAGGCGAAGAATCATGCAGGGGCGACTTTTCGGCCATCTCAGCAGGGGCACCCACCGTAGCCCGATGCGATCAGAAACGCTGAAGCAGATGACCGCCGGAATCGCTCGAAGTCCTGCTTAAGTGATATCGACAAGTGATGCAGTCTACTTCTTCATACTTACCTCTACATAGGTGCAAAAACATGCGAACGCATGCAGGTAGGTGGGTCGGTATTGTGTGCACGTGTCTGCATGTATAGGGCCATGCTCGAACTAGTGCTACATCATATGTAGGCAGGCTTGTGTGCGGCACATCGACACACTAAAGGAGCGGACATACCACGTTCTAATTTTATATCCAAATTTATGTAACGAAACAGGGAGATGGTACGAGTACACTGTCAACCAAGTTAACCGCGTCAATCTGGTACAACACAGGTGAGGACAACATGACCGGAGATATCGCACCAACAAAACAATCACAAGTCAGGTGAAGTACTAATACCGTGCTATGCAGGGAAGGCCAAATGAGTCAAGAAGGAGACATCGAAGTCTCGGTCAGTAAACATGGCCAAGAAGCTGTTGCGGTGTGAGATGTTGCAACACTGTCAACACAAATGCGTCGAAGCATGCTGTGCACCAACATGTCGAGGTATGCTGTGATCACCACAACCTCGAAACAGAGTGCCTGAACCCATATACAAGATGACTACAAACATCAGAAAACATATCGAAACTTGTCACGTGCTGTTTCACAGACTAGTGGCGCTCTTATTCGTAGCGATATCAATCGAGGAGCTGCAAGACAATGCTGCGAGCCAATGCAACAATGGGACTCTTGCTGCCGCGACCTCCAGGTATTTCGCTCTGCAAAGTTCCCGGCAATCTTCACAAAGTCGTTGGCCTGGGTGCCAAAACAACCCTGCCAAATGAGCCGTTTCTACAAACTTTTTCTTCTGGGTATGCGTTCATGGTCTTTGTCTACCCAGTTTTGCGCTATCTGGCAGAAACTGTCGTATGCACATCGCACTTTGATGCTCGATCATAAGTCAATAGTCGTCAATCAGCACAGACCGATCAACCAACCAACCCACCGACCGACCGCCCAACCAACGAACCCACCGACCAGCCAACCCACCCACCGACCGACCAACCAACCAACCCACCTACTGGTATCAACCAACCGACCGACCAACCGACCCCGCATCACCCAAGTGTGTGGAATGAGCCTCCTGCTCTGCCAACGGCATGCTGGCTCTGCCTGCGACATGCACAGGCGCATGGTGGGAGGTCCCAAGAACTGGGTTTCGTGAAATAACGAGGTAGGTCTCGAGTATGCTGTCAGAAGCTTCGCAGGCAATCATCCCGATCTTCGAAGGCCGAGCTGCTTCTACAGCCCAAAAGCCATGAACTCTGAGCCGCCTCGCAAGCAGTCAGCGGCAACGTCGCGCAAACCTTCTGGGCACGGAGCATGACGGCAATGCTATGCACAGCCAGAGAGTGTGCCAAAAAGAGCTACGAAAAGCATGTTTCCGACCAAGTTGCTCAAGCTGCGAGCACAAGGCCCGCCCTACAAGGGGCAGCAGAGGGAGTCCTGTCAATGCCTCTGATACAGATACTCAGTCTCCATCAGAAACATCTACCCGTATCGCAACAATCATCTGGTCTCATAAACCCTTCCATCATTCTCATCAACATCATCCTGTGCCCCATCATTCTCATGAGCAACCACACCATCCTCCCCCGCCCACCACCCTGGAAGACTGCTCCGTCCTCTTCTTCCCGGATCGCGTGGCAAGTGCCGGCCTTGAAGCGGGCCGCTGAGCAGAACAAACAAGCAATATCATGGCATCTGCAACGGAACAGAGTATGCCGACTCTCTCCGTGATGTCTAAGACGTCATGGCCGTGGCCATCATGTTCGCTGACAGTGGGACTTACGGCCCGAACTTCGTCGCATTCGGGACCGCAGCAGCAGCGCTCCTGCTGGATTCTGTAAGTAGGGTTCTGAAGTTCAGTTTCTGAAACTCTCTGCAGGCTATCAAGAGCGATGAGGAAGCGTTTGGAACAAGGATCCTGAGACCCAGCGAGATTCGAAATTCCTGAGGCCCCCGAGACTCCTGAACACGGAAGCTCAGGCACCACCCTTGAAACATACTCCTTCAAACAACAGAGAACTTCTACCCCCAACGATGCTTTTCTCCCGTAACATGCTACAGCTCAACTTGCATTAGAAGACCCTCACGCGCTCGAGAGCTGAACCCAGACCTGTTGGTCGACGGCGCCGCAGAGGACGAGCAAGGCTGAAGAAGCCGCACGCACCTGCCTCCGAGTAGCTTGCGGGGCAGGCCTACCACATCGAAACTCGAAATGTAGGGCCACGTGCATCTCGAAGGTTCCTGAACCTCCGAGAAAGAAATCCGACCCGAACCCCGAAACAGAGTTCAGCAACTCTTACAAGTAACCCCAGATACAAAAACAGACTCGGCCGGCTCATCGAGCTATGATCGCTGGCAGTCGGCCTCTGCCCCATGTCTCAGGACGGCGCATCCGCCGCCGCCTTCAGGATTCGAGGGGTTCAGGGCCTGCTTCCGGGCTCAAGATACGGATTTTTGTGTTCAGCGTGAATCAAAAAGGGTTGAAAAACCTGAGCCCAAGTGAAGAAACTTTTAAAGAGTTTGTCTAGGCCGTTGCCCGGGGGGCGGAAGCCCCTCTCATGAGCCCCTTTCCGAGATTTCGCCTCCCCGAGCAGTTGCCAGGCGAGGGCGCACAGCCATGGGTGCGCTGGAAGGGAGGGTTTGAGGGGTCGTCGGGTCGTGGGGAAGTCACAGAGAGGCTACTCAAAAGGCTGGGTTTGAGGCATTCGCTGCTGACAAGTGTTGACCGCGATTTGGGCAGTCTCCTGCTGTTCACTTGCAGGGTTTTCGGTGGAGGGTACAGTCAGGAATCAAGCTGCAAGTCTGAGGTGTGTCTGTGTCTACGGGCGTCGGGCTTGCTTGTCTACATGCGAAGCGACGAGAAGCTGCTGCATTTAAGAATCGGGAGAGTTGCCGGAAGATCTGTAGCGCGTGCTTCTGTAGTTAAATGCATCTGCGTGTTTCGAGCAGGAGTATGTGCGTGTAGATATCTTTATATCTATATCTGTATCTGTATCTATATTTATGTCTATATCTATACCTATGACTATGTACATGTACTGTCTGTTGCTATATCTATATCTGTATCTACATCGGCATCTCGATGTATATATATATATATATATCTGTATCTATACCTATCTATTCACCTAACTGGCTATCCATCTTTCCTCCCGTCTATATATCCAACTGCCTGTCAATCTATCTGTACATCTGCATACCATTTTTACCGATGCATCGCAATATATTTTCCCTATAAATATCTATATGCTTACATACGTGTGTGTTAGGCATCATCCAGTGTATAGAAAGTGTATAACTACATGTGCGTCCATAAGACATCTGACCTCCTTATCGTCATCAGTGTGGTCATTCACATATATAGACTCCGCGCTGGTCCGGAGAAATTGTTTGGAAAGGGACTTGCAGCATACACTTCCGTATGTGATGCGCACTATGCAGACCTAAACATGCACTGCAAAATAGCCATCTCAGGTGATGTTTGGGATAGTCAGGAATGAGCACAAATTAAAAAAAAAAAAAAGTCCGAGATATGCACAAACATGTAACATGTGAACAAATTCTGTTGCGTGGTTGACATGTCGCACATCATAGATTTGGCTTTACGTGTATACTACAAACGAAATGGTGCCGGCAGCAAATAGCACAAGACAGGACACGTCTTTCTTGCTGGTGAACTGTCTGTATGTGAGAGCATGTGTGCTGTGTGTGCACTTGTGTGCATGCGCGTGTGTCTGTGCTGATGTGCATGAGTATGTGCGAAGTGTGAATGTCTATATGTGATATTCATGTATGTACGTCTTTATCTATGCATGTATGTATGTGTATGTATGTGTATTTATGTGTATGTATGTGTATGTATACGTATATGTGGCTTGTATATCTGCACAGGTACAGGTACAGGTATATGTATATGTAGGTATCTGTATGATGATGTATGTATATATGTATGTATGTATGCATGTATGTATGTATGTATGTATGTATGTATGTATGCATGCGTACATATTTCTATACACACACGCGATCTAGAAAGAGTAGGATGCGCACATCATATATTTACACATACTGTAAGTGTGCATGTCGACATGTATGCCACGATTTGCCATTCAGGATACAGCACAATGCAGAAGAATCGTTGTGCTACAAGTTGCCTAGTCTGAGCAATGGCGAAAGACTAGGTTAAGGCCGGTTAAGGGTCGCATTGAAGCCCTGGGTTTAGGAAAGACCTGACAAGGCGCCTTGAGCTTCGCAACGTCTTTAAGGCAGTGGGTGTGAGCCACTCCACCTCCGTCCGCTTCACAGGCGTCCACGTCCTCGAAGCCGGAGGCTTTTTCAGAACGCTTGTGGAACAACTCTCGCGGACAAGGGCCACCACAAAGGTTCTGGCAGAGTAATTGGGTGGGCTTTCTGCCGGCCTTGTGGACACGTGTTGAAGAACGAGCATTGCCACACAACCGCTGGCTGGTTGCGGTGTGAGTCTATCGTTGTAAGACTTGGAAGACTTGCGACCAAGCCGCTGCACGTTCATTGACAACTACTTGGCGACTTCCAGTCTTGTGGGATGGAATATGGTATGCTGAATATGCTGCTGCCGTATATCAGAACACGGAAAGTTGACGTTCACGGGTACTACGCGGCCATGACTCCAATCGGCAAAAGTGATGGTTTTGGTGGTGGGGTCGTGGGATTGGCGGACACTACGTGGTGGCGCAGATCTCCATCACTTGCGCTCCAAGACACTGGTACGCAGAGCCACTCAGCTTTCTGCACCTGAGCTGCTTCAGGACTGCAGGCTTGAACCGGTTCACATTCACGCACATGTTGTATATGCATACAACGTATGACGACTTATCTATCTGTCAGTCTATCTATCCATCTGCCTCTCGCTGGGGTATACATATCTATAAACACAGCTTTAGATAAGTATATGTAAAGTCTCTCGCCGAGTCTTTTTGAAATTGACAGACTGAAGTCGGCCCAAGCTCAGCCTTTGAGCTGCGCACATGGAGCAGTGGCAATGCTGAAACTCCCGAGGGCTCGCCGTCGTCCTGGCCCAGAAAATACCCGCAGATAGCACCGCGGCTTCTGAGGCTTGTCGCACCATGCAAATTCAACACGATCATGGCCATGCTCATGCTGATAGGAATTTTGCTCGTATGTACATTTCTTTGTGGAATACCCCAGGGAACCCTTGTTCCGTCAACTTCCGACACTGCAAGGCTCCACCAACCCAATCGCCGAGGCTCCAGACCCTTAGCCCTACACTTTTCACGGCACCTTCCTCAACCCTTGGGTTTAGGGTGTAGGGTTTATAGGGTTTAGGGCCTTACGCCTCCATAATAAAAGCCGGCGCCCCTGATCCCCGCCCCGCCGGAAGCGGCACTTCCCGCAGAGGCAGGAACCCGTGGCCGGCAGCTGCGGCCGACCAGGAAAGGACTGCTGCCTGGTCTCGTAGTGCAGTGTAGATTTATGGTTCATGAGCTGGCTGCCGTGATTTTTGAGTTAAGGGCTGACGGTTTCGTGAGGGTTGTTAAGAGCTTGATGCAACCAGGTGGGGTTGGGGCCATCAGGGTATGATAAAGGCTTCATCAAAGTGCTTCCTGCAAGGAGGAAGCGAAGAAATCCATCTATCCATTCATCCATCCGTACGTACGTACATACATACATACATACATTACATACTTTCTACATCTATGTCATATTCCATATTTACATACACTTACATGTTTGCTTCCCCACGCAGGCATAAAAACCTACAAAAGCGGGTCTGCGTGTACCTTTGTAAACACGTGTGTGTCGTCGTGCATGCGGTGGGGTGTTGATAACTAGTATCACCGCTGAAAAATCCAACTACAGACGCACCGATAATCAGAAAAAACCCTGGTTACACTCACCAAACCCTGGTAACTGGTACGTACCAACAACGCTTCATATGTGCCTTCACAGACTCATACATCATGTGTGCATATGTATATTATACTCACACAAAGCTGCATACAAAATTTCTACATAAGAGAGAGAGTGAGATAATATATATATATATACACACACATACCTAGGGCTTTATACGTGTATTTATGTACATTCACGCAACAAATAAACACCTCACATCGACAGCTGTAAAGGCATCACCATTTCGATCTGTCTCCCACATCCCGGAAGAGATTTCAAGACAACAAGCTAACGAAGCAAAAACGCTCTCTTTACGGGCAGTTTCTTGAGCGTGTCGAGAGCTCTCATGACTTAACCACTAATCTGGCCGAGTGCACCTGACTGCCAGGGGCCCGAAAGGTGCGGGCGATTGAGTCGCCAGCTCCTGCGAGGCGTCATGATGCTCTACGTCTTGCAGGCAATGCAATGCCTTTGAGCCCTGGGTCGCGTGTCGCAGCTCCCGCAGTTCCTTTTCTCTACCTGATGGTGCTTGCAAAGCCTCCATCTCCGGCTTGAAGTTGTTCGGGAAGTGCTTGTCGGAGAGTATCTCGGCACGGCTCGACAACCGCCAGGTGTCCCAGGCAAGCTCTGTGTTGCTTGCGGCGTACGATCGGTGCAAAGGACAACGATTGCGAATCACACCGTTCAGCCGAGCCCTGCGCCCCCACAGCCAGGAGGAAGACCACCTTTGTCCCCCGATATGTGGAGCAACCACAGCAGATGTCGTGAAAACATGGATTTGGGAGTGCCTCCTTGGCTAGGCTAGGGGCTTCGGCTTCGCGATTACAAGTAGATTAGACTCATGGATGTGCGGATTCCGGCATGGAGTTTGGGCCTTGCAACGTTGCGCTTTCGACACGTCGAAGGGCCTGACAGTCCAATCCTTGTCGCACCTACGTGGGCAACTCCAACAGAACACGAGGACTGGAAATTCGGAACCGCCCCTTCCCTCACAAACCCAAAGCATGCTGCCTGGCCTTCCCCTCCATGTGAAGAGCGACTAAGCAGGTGCTTCCACACCTAAGCGCACGGGGCTGGCCTTTCAAAATTTCGCTGTCCATTTTGAGCTAAGGCTTTTCCTTTGGTTGCAGGTTACCTACGCTCCGGGGCGCCTCAACTTCCAAGAACATCTAGAACATCTTCGAGCCAGAACGGCTCCCCAGTAAAGCCCCTTTTAAGCTCAGGCATCCCAATGAAAAAAACCTCCAACCTTAGAGGCCGAAAAAGCCTTCTGAAGCCCCCGGCGTCTGGCAGAAGTGCCGACGAACCGAAGCATTGAGGCTGCCTGCGACGGGGGCTGCAGGAGTCATCAACATCTAGACTCAAACATTCAAAGATGTAGCTCTACTGTACAGTATGTCAGTATGTCACGAGCAGCTTGTGGTGCAAGGTGCTTCGGATCCTAAACTGACCCTTGTTCGCCTGCGAGCCCTGCGCACATGGAGAGGGGGCCCTCCTTCAATGCACCTGCAGATACAGGCAGGTATGGCTGGCTGACAGTAAGGACAAGTGCCATTGCCACCATCACTTGTCTCTTGGTTTTCCTCCATGCTCATCGCAGTTAGTTATACTGGGCTCTGCGCTCAGCAAAACCCTATCCCACCAACATCATCAGGGTTATTACTAACATTGCCGTCCCCATCACATTGGTATCAACCATCAACAGCAGCAGCATTCACAGCACCAGGGGCACAGCAACATCGTCATAATCACATGTGATACCACCACCACCGGCGCGACCTGTCGCCATCACTGAAGGCCAAGACCTCAAGACTTGCCAGCTCTGCCAAAACCAGCCCACCTCGAAAGTTGGAGCCTCCCAGTGCATCCTTTTCCTCGCACAGCTTCGGGCTTAGGCTTTGTTTGAGAAGTGCTGGAGTGAAGGGGAAAATGCAGGACGGCTGACGAAAGCCAACCCGAGCAAGTGCTAGTCCAACCACAGGATTCTCGCTTTTTGCACAAACTGTCGTTGTTCCAGCCACCTCTGATCAGGCTCCCCAGCGTGGAGCTGCTGGAGCAAGGTTCGGATGAGGCCGTGGAAACACACGACTGCAGCATTGTTCGACCATTGGCCAGGTCCAACAGCTTGAATCCAACTCCCCCCGAATCAATTCATGGCGAAAGCCCGCCTGAGTCGACACATCCCCAACCCTAGTGCCGTTCTGAACTGCGCACTTTAACAGCCTCATGCTACGAATTCGGAAGCTTGCAGAGATGTATGTCGCGGCAACGTGTGCCACAAGCGCAGAAACAGCTTGTGACTTTGTCAGCACTAGCAACTGCTGAGAGCATGAGCTGCCCCCGACAAAGAAGCCGGGTTCGCGTGTATTCAACGCCAAACCTCCCCACAAAGCCCCTGTCAAAATCCAAAAACTCGGGTGTGCACGTCGGCCTCGAGCGGACATAGGACGGAGAAGGCTGAGCCATGCACCCGTCGGCAGTCTGAGCCTCCAGCGAGGCTTTTGGTCTTCGGGTTTGGGGTTTAGACCTTGGGCTTAAAACTGGATGAGCAATCGTCAACAATCATGCAGTCTGTATTTTATCCACTGTCGCGCTCGTGATGGGTTGAGCTCAAAACCTTGCCACCAACCGAACTCTAAGTGGGCCTCAAACCTCCATGGCCTTGAACCCGGAATGCTTAGAGGTCCTCCTTGTGACGCCAACCTCTACCAGAGGCCCTCAACGCCCGAAACTTCAAGGGCCTTCAGCCCGGAAGCTTACGCAAAGCACCTCGAGCCCCCCCCTCTTCTGCTGCCGGGTGGCAGTGGCAAGAGAGCCAAGACCGCTCCCGGGCAATAGGCGCCTCGGCAAGCTTCTGGACAGCGGACAAGCTTTTTACTTCGGGTCGGCTTTTGAAGGCTCTACAGCCGGTTTCAGCAAGGCTTCAAGGGGGCTACATAGGGCTACATATAAGCGACTTGAAAGACTCGAAAGGGTGTAAGGTCCAGAGCTGCAAAGGCTTAGTGTCAAGGTGGGTCAAGCAGTTCACTGTTCAGGTTCAGGGCACAGCGCTTCGAGTTTACGGCAGGATACAAAACGGCATGACCCGTGACTTTCAATACCATGACCCGAGCAATACCGATCGCACAGCTGCCATCATCATCATCATCATCGTCATCATCATCACTTCTGCATCCTTCCTCGAAGCGCCCCCCCCCCCCCCCCCCGTGGCCGAGGAAGCCGCGAGGAAGCGCACAGCCCCGCAGTGGCCTCTGGCCCAGCTACCGACTCGGGGGTGTCCAGGGTGTTTTCAGGTCTTTCCTAGGCTCAAGTGTTCGAGGAGTAGGCTTTGGGGGTGAGATTCAGAATACAAACAGCTAACAACACTTGTTCAATGTCGGATGTCGGCACTTGTCTGCCCCCCATGTCTTGTTTCCGTTGCATCGGGCGTCTTACTTGTGTGCCTTGGACTGCCCTCTGTCCAAGCAAGGAATTCAGGGATTCCTGCAGAACCACAAATGCACCAGGATGCCTATGGCGGTCGAGACATGTCGAGACCTCTCTGTTGGCAGCAAAGCCCAGTCGGACCAAGCACCAGGCATGCGCTCGGCAGATAGAAAACTTCCGCCGTGGCTGACATGGCTTGTACATGCTGGACTTTGGTCGAAGAGTTGAGGCTTTGGCTTTTTGTTTGAAGCCCCTTCGTTCTACCCGCTTCATGGCTGGAGATTTCATTTAGACGCTTCAGATTCTCGGTCAATGAGAAGTAAGCCCGCAACTTCGAGTCATTGCAACACTGCCGGGTCCTACTTGGGCTAGCGGCTAGCTTATCTCCGTGCTCTTCAGACACAAGCTTGTATTGCTCGTTTACTCTCCATTTGCCTTGCCTACCTCTGCGCCAGCTCGGCTCACTTCTTCCTCTGGTGTACTAGGCTGGCATAGTGAAAATCACGGCGAGCAATGTCTTGAGAGTGAGCTTCTACTCTGTGGGTAGTCTTGCTGTGCTCACATCTCCGGGCCCGGGATGTCGAGCACGGTAGTTCTGTTCCTCACATCTCCACGTTAGAACTCTAAGCGCCACCTGATTAAATGTAACAGCAGGAGCAGAAGGAAGCAGCCAAAGTCAACACACAACAGCAATAGCCCCGGCAACCCATAACGGCATTAAGGCATGGCTTGGCAGACAATGACCACCAGAACAAACAGCATCAAATGACGGCGGCGCAGGGAGGATTGTAACAACGCCAAAAACAACAACCGCTAGACACCAGAGCACTATGAAACTCAGCAAGAGCACAAGCCCGATACAAATACCGGAAACAAGAATAACGGACCTCGTGATACTCTCCACAACACTCCGACCTTTGCTACCACACTCTCAAGGTAACGAACATCGCCCAGACGGGGTGCACTCTTCTTTGAGAGTGCAGAGTCACCCATCCTGCAAGACAGAATAATAGGCCTAAATGGCAGCAAATCGATGTCCTGCGCGCTACACGCAAGATGCTAAGCATGGACGCCACAGCCTTAAACCGAAGCAGTCTGAAGCAGCCCTGCATCTCTCGGGCATCTAGATGCACGAGCAATGGCAGAACAAGCTCACCGACGGCAGCAAACATAGGGGCAATGACGATACATCACAGTAGATCTGGGAATCATCGTCATGATCATCGTTATCTCTAACACCGTCATCATCACAAAATGCTCTTACTGCCAGCATCATGACATCGTGTTGAACGTGTCTTCCTTGCCACTACGGGTTGAATCCGAAGCATCGGGGCACAGCAACTCCTGAAGGTCACGAGATCGCGGCGGCGGATTGGGCTGTGAATCTTCTTCTTGCTCCTGCTATGATTGCTGGTCATGGTTTTGCGAACACTGCTTGTGGCCTGGACCTTCTAATGAATAGTCTAACCAGTCTTCTGGCCTTCTTGCCTACAACTTGAGTGTTGGTCCGTTGCTGCTTGGAAGTCTTATGTTCATCTGCTGAAGCCTTTTAGTTTCCCCATTAATTCCTGGTATTTCCTTGTTATTTTACTTCTGCACACTCGCTACATTGACCATGAACACGAGCTTGGCACAGGCCACCGTATCTGAAAGTGTCTACACTGTCTACACCAATCCAGTTATGGCAGTCTTCTTGACAGTATCCTTCATGTTCTTGCCGCAGCCATTCTATTGGCTTCGGGTCCACATCTTCGTGTGTTCTTTTCGCTGTCTGTCGGAGTCTCTCGCCTTTATTCTAGATTTGAAGATGCCAGGCGCATCTCCTCGGTCACTGGAAAGAGAGAAAGATTAAGATTATCGCCATGGGAAAACAAGCAGATGTCAAGATCGCCAAGCTGTACCGGGTCACTGAAGTAATCGAGAAAAGGGTTCCGGCTTGCCAGAGGTGAATCTGAGAGCCCACCTCGCCAGTTCTTGACACCCACTCGACTGCAGACATGTCGAGCCGCAGAACATAATGCGTCACGGAAAGCGCTTGGCGAAGCAGTGACGCAGGGAACAAATTGGAAAGACTCGTGCCTCTGCGCAAGGTCTCAATTGCTACGGGTTCATCCCGACAAGAAGGCCAAACATGCATCAGTTGCTTGACCTATAGTATATGTAATTGGATTTGGTATTCTTACGACCTGGATTTTTCTTGCCCAATCGAGCACCTCGCGCTTGTCGCGGACCTCAGGAGGCCTGAGTAAGCGCAGCGCTGCTGCAGCTCACCCCCTTCTCCCAAGGATCTCGAACTCTCTGTTGAAAACCCTGCACGTTCTTTGAACATCGGCCGGCCGGAGCCGAAGATGGCATGATGGACATCGTACGGGCTCAAAAATTCACACACAACAGGCGGGCGACACGCAGAGAGTGATCGTATGTGATCCTGTTCTCTGGTGGTAAAACACTTGTGGAAAGGGGCTGCGATAGGCCTAGGCCTAGACTCGCTCTGACCAAATCTCCTCCGAGATGGCTTGAGATGTCTGGCTCTGCTCGTGCAGTGTTCGTTCGGTTCGTTCCATCATGGCCCGGAGTGACTCGATCTCCTGTACGAAGCCTTCCGGGTCCTCTTCCACATCCTCCAAGAAATCTTCAAGGGCCTGCAGATGTTCCACTGCGCTTTCCGATAGACCACGCATGGAAGGTGCCACCGACTGACTATTCTGGAAATAGACAGATTCTGATGACTCCAGGGTCGTCAGCGTGCCAGCTCTCTTTAGTGTTGAGAGGCTTCGGCTCATGGCGTGCGAGATCCAGGCTGTCGCATGGTCCATTCTGGAGACCTACCGTGCTGTCACTTCTCTCACTTGCAGTCTTTGAGCCGGCTTCCATAACAGATGGCAAGGTACAAACGGGGGCGTTGCTCCAGACTGATCATTTCGAAGCTTCGAACGCCCATCGAGCTGATACTCGGAGCTCTTTTTCTGGAGCAGACCGGCCACCGGAGGCGCGGCAGAAAACGCTGCTTGGCAGGGTTCCTGCCCCGTGGGAAAATGGTGCAGTCGCTGCATAGGCAGCTCCTTTTGCCATGACCTAAACGGCCGACGGAAAGAGGCAGGACGATGACTAGGGAGCAGAATTTCCCTGAAGCTCCACCTCCCTCGCAACTGCTGCCCTCGTTCCTCGGTGGCAGGACAATATGAAAATAATCTGCTGGAGGACGCTGACGACGCTCTATCACCAGGAGCGGCAGTGACAGGGGCGACCAGGAAGGAAACATGATTACTGGTGACAGTGAAAAACGGTGGCGTGCTTGGTAGTGAAAGGAGGTGGCTTGCCTTCCGGGCAGCGATCCTGACAATCAGCGCAATCATCATCGCCACCTACCATCACCATCGACATGACGATCGCTATCATCCAGGTGTCGTGGTCATTGGTCTGCAGCTGCTCTGCCTGCTTTCTTGTCATCATGATCATCCTCATCATCGTCAATGTGAAAAGGGCATCACCGTCATCATTTCGTATCTCGTCATGGCCGTCGTTATCGTCATCGTCATCATCATCATCATCATCATCATCGTCACCCTCATCATCATCATCATCGTCATCGGCATCATCATCATCATCATCATCATCATCATCATCGTTACCGTCACCAGAAAAATCGTCATCATCACCATCATCGTCATCAGCAGCAGCAGCAGAAGCAGTAGCAGGAGCAGCCACCCGCCACCCTCGCCACAACCCCCACCACGACCACCACGACCACCACGACCACCACTATCACCACGACCACCACGACCACCACGACCACCACGACCACCACGACCACCACGAGCACCACGACCACCACGACCACGTCATCAGTCATCTTGTGTCATCAACGGCTCAGGATCTATCGCTCCTGGTCGTTAACCAAGCATCATCCCGCACCCCTGCTCTCCCAGGCTTCGACAAAGCACAAATACCGGAGCCCAAACTTCAGCCGAGGCTTCCTAGGGGCCACCAACTTCTCACGGGCGCTCGGCCCTCGAACTCGCTGAAGTCACCGGCGTCATGCAAAGGGGTGCCGGCCTCTGGGCGAGAAAAAAAAACGGAAATTCCGAGTTGATACTGTAGGCGGCTTGAAGGAATCAGGATTGCACTGGCCTCGCCAGCCGCAGCTGGACGGCGCCTACGAAGACTTCGCGCTGCCAGCAGGAAGGGAAACGGAAGGAGAAGAAGCGGGAGCCACTTGCCGATATTCCAGGGATCCCACTCTGCTTCGTGGCTTCGTTTGGATGCCATCGCATGTGCGTCCCTGCCCCCTGTCGCAGGCACTGACTGCGCCAACTGCGTGGAATCTGCATTCCTCCCTCCTTACGTGTCACATTAATGACATACAGACAACACGGCCTGTGCACAGCCTGCAACCCATGCATGCTTCCCCACCCTCGAAGCCTCTTAACACTGCCGGGTCACTTGTACAAGTCTCCGGGCAGCGGCGGAAGACGAAGAACGGATCGGCAGCAAAGGCTCGATGGCACCCTTCGTCACAGCTGGGCGACGACAGGATCTGATCGGCCGCACAGTCCGGAACCCGGTAGAGGTTCACCCACTTCGGACAGTCCCAGCTGGCCGCCTGAGGGCAGAAACTTGGAAGCCTGAAAAGCTGCAAAAGCTTTGTGTCTGTGTTTCCGTATGTATATACAAACGAAACATACGGAATATTTGAGTAAGCTTGTTGTAGATGAAAGATCGGTAGGTTGATAGATAGATAGACAGACAGATAGATAGATGGATGGATAGATAGTTACATACATAAACAGATAGATAGATAGATAGATAGATAGATAGCTAGATATATAGATAGATAGATAGATAGATAGATAGATAGACAGATGGATGGATGGATGGCTGGATGGATGGATGGATGGATCGATGGATCGATGGATCGATGCATGGATGGATAGACGGATAGACGGATAGATGGATAGATGGATAGATGGATAGATGGATAGGTGGATAGATGGATAGATGGATAGATGGATAGATGGATAGATGGATAGACGGATAGATGGATAGATGGATAGATGGATAGATGGATAATTGGATAGATGGATAGATGGATAGGTGGATAGATGGATAGATGGATAGATGGATAGATGGATAGATGGATAGACGGATAGATGGATAGATGGAAAGATGGATAGATGGAGAGATGGATAGATGGATAGATATCAACCACACCCGAAATCTGTTGACACGCCGAAGCCTCTGGCCCCACAGCGTGCTCGAACTGCTTCAAGGGCTGGGGAAGGTCCGTTCCGTTATTTTGGCAGGTCGCTGGGCATCGCCGTTGCATGAAGGACCTGTCGCCTGAGGCTTGGAAGGAACAGGAGGCTTCCAAACAAATCTAGACACACAGCAGTCCCGCTGCTCCCATCTGTTTATGACAGGTGCTTATGACATGGTCTGACACAAATCTGGAGCTGTGCACCTCGAAATGCGCTTCGACACCCCTCGTCGCAGTTCTTTGCCTGCCATGGGCGCCGTCATTCCCTTCCCTGATCCTCTCGTGCACCCTGGTTTAAGGTGTCGGGCTGGGGGCACAACTGTCGGCTTTCAGGGTGCAGGGATTGGGTGCAATAGGGCACAAGTGGAAAAACTGGGGTAGGGGGCGTGGGACCGAAGTTTATTTAAGGGGTTTGAAACTCCCAAGCCTCAAAGCACAAGTTACTGAACTTGAACTCGGGAGAGAATGCTAAAACCCTGAAGACTTCTCGCTTGGCCTTTATCACGGCATCCCCCGCACAGCCCGCGTCGAGCACATCGTAGAGGTTCGTCCACTGCTGGCAGCTCCAAGCAGCGACCTCTACGTGGAGGATGCGAAGGAGTGCGATGAGTCCCATTTTTCCTAGCTCTGAGAGCAAGAGGACGCGTTACTCTTGCAGCCCCGCCAGGGGGCTATTCATGAGGGCTGCACATTACTCGGCATTATGGACCAAAGAGTATGCAAACTTCGCAAACGAAGTTCGTGTTCTGCGTTCTCGTCAACGTCGAGTACGGGATCAAGCTATGCGTGCTCATTCCTTCGGCCTCAGGCATTTTAATATATCGGATGACTCGATGAAGCCAAAATTCCGAAAGATGAGGTGGCAGACGGGAAACCAGCTGCACGGCTGGGTTCCGAGTTGAATTGGTGCGGTGGCACTGCACGTTGCTGCTGTTGCGGCCCTGTTGTACTGCGCTGTCAAGCTCATGATTCGCTGTGAATTGGTCGCATTTCTGCCTGCATCACGCTGGCTTCTTGTCTGGGAAAGTAGCTTGTAGGGGTGGGGGTTATGTTAGTCCTTTTCTCCTTCCTCTTCTTCCTCTTCTTCCTCTTGTTCGTCTTCTTCCTCTTCTTTCTCATGTTGATGAGATGATGTTGTTGCTGTTGTCGTTGTCGCTGTGGCTGTGAGGGGTTGTGGTGGTGGTTGTGGCTGTGGTTGTGGCGGTTGCGGCGGTTGCTGTGGTGGCCGTGTTGCCGTCGTCGCCGTTGGTGCTGCTGATGGTGTTGTTGTTGTTGTTGTTGTTGTTGTTGTTGTTGTTGTTGTTACGGTCGCTGTTGTGGTTGTGGTTGTGGTTGTGGCTGTTGTT